AATAATTAAATAAATCCCGTTTCGACTGTCTTTCAATTGGAGAAAACTCCCCACGCGCCCCGCAAGCGCGGTAAAAAGGAGGTGCGACAGTGTACACTAAAATATCTAATGTAATATGTATGCATTCAATTTTTATCCTCTTATTCTCTCTATAACTATGTTTAGTTATTATGCTACAAATAACTACTTAATATCCTCATATATACATTGGTATATTATTTGATAACTTGAAAATAGAAAGTATATATTTATACCTGGATTACTCAACAATACTCTTTCTTCATGGAGGATATCTTCTGATAATAATTGCCATGTTGATTGCCACACACATTCTGGCCGAGACATCGATTGGATAACAGCAACATAGCAAATAATTACCTAAGATATGATGGCATTCCCCAGTTACTTGCTTCCTTTATGGCATCCATACTCTTTATCATCATCCAATAACCCAAGTGCATAACATGCATCTCTAAAAGTGAGATGGCTATGATTGTTGATTCTTTTAAGATCGTCATAGGATTCTGGACCTTTAATAACATTAAACAACCAGGCGGAACAAAGAAAATTCTTCCAATGGAAAATACAGAAGTTCTTCTTTTCTCCCATCTTTTCAATTGTTTCTTCCAAACAAACTTAAGAGGGAACTCTGCATAAGTCAATTCTCTTGCTTCTGGCAATGTTTTATTTGTCTCAAACCAGCTTAAAAACATTGATTCCTGTACACTTGGTCTATTTGAAACATCATGAATTGGATCATCATCAGAGAATATAACATTTTGTTCATTTGGAAGATGAAAAGATAGTCTTTCCACAGGAGGTTCTCTATGGTGAATTGAAAATTTGAATATTCTCCAAGCAGCTTCACATGGTGATATGTATAGGCAATCATAATACATATTTATTTCATCAATATTTGATGAATCTTCCTCTTGCATACTTTGGGAAAAAGCAGCGGTAACACGATCATTTCCTTTGCTAATATACTTAAATAAATACTTAATGGATCTTGATTGATTGCACCATTCTACATTAATATGAGCATCATACTTAAGTAATAAGAACCGATTGTGAGGCACCACATACCTACTATCCAAGTCAATACCATCCTTTTTGATATTTCTACCATTATCCCTTCGTCTATAAACAGGATAACCCTCCTCATCAATTGTTGTTGACTCAACAAACCTTTCTGGAAAATGCTTGGTACATCTTCCGCTCTGCATGCAAAGAGAAGACTTTCTTGCAGAACCACACGGGCCATGCATCATAAAATTATGCACGGCCTTATAATAAACAGGATTGGCCAATTCATCTGGTATTTCAACAGAAATGATTTGATCAATATCTGCAGCAGTTGGATATTTATCACACTCGTGAAGAAAAATCAAGATGTGAGCATGAGGCAACCCTCATTTTTGGAACTCAAATGTATAAATCACTGCACAAAAAAGAATTTATTACACTTCATAAATATAATTGAAATATTCATTTTANAATATAATTGAAATATTTATTTTTAAACCTATTATCCTATGTAACATAAAAAGTAATTATTATTTTTTAGAAGTTGACTATGGCAATATACCTGCTTTTACTTTTCTAAAAATCTGATTGTCGCGTAAATCCTTTATCAAACGGTCCAATTTAATTTTGAATACCCTAGCTAAAATGTCTGGACGATCCTCAGGATTTAAGTCCCTACTTTCTACAAATCTACGAATCTCAGGCCACTTTGGATTGAAAGTAAAGGTGATGAAAAGATCAGGGTACCCAGCCCATTTGCATATTGCCATAGCATCTTGATAGTTTTGAATCATGTATCGTGCACCCCCTGTGAAGCTGGACGGTAGAATTATCCTTTTTTCTTGAGAAGAAGGATTAATTTCTCCATGCAAAACAGCATCTTGTAAGCTTTTATACATGTGACATCTCAACTTTTTTTGATTGAGCCTAATATACCTTAATCGAGAAGATTCGATCATTGTATATGCATCAACCAAGAATTGCTGAAATAATCTTCTAGAAGACACAATCGTCGGAACTTCATTATTCCTTTCTTGAATTTTATAAGCAAAGTACTCCCGAATGATAACACATTTCCTTCCTCCAGTTGATTCATCATCTCCCTCTAAAGGAATGTCCTCTCTGTATCCATCTTCACCATATGGAAATAGTAAAGGATATTGTAACCCTAAATAGGAAGCATTTAATTCATTTATCCTTTGTAGCTATCCGGATTGGGTTTTGATAATGATGTCCCTATCACATCTAGATAGTTTAAAATCTCCCACCACCAAAGCAGCAACTTCTGAAACCGTAGGCAAGTTATATCTTCTTTCATCGGTGCTCTTTTTTCCTATTAATCTGAGTCTAACATTGGAGCTTCTATCTTCTTGAAATCTATCTCTTACCATTCTAAATGTCTTTGCCAAAACATTGTTTCCATCAAGCATTTGCTTCAGATCATTAACAATCTCAACATGAAGTTTGTTCATGGTTTGGCCACGACTGCACAAAAATACATATATATGAAATTATTATATATTGTATTTTCATGAAAAATATATTTACGTGTTATAATTCATTTATGGTAGAATCCAAACCTCACAGCATGAATTCTATTTTGTACTTCATTTTCTGTATAATAAATATATAATTGTGCAAACTTCGGGTTGGATCCATCATGAGGCAATAGACTTCCGATTTGATGATAGTTCTGACCAGACAATTTGAATATTCTTGGTCCCCGCATATAATTGTTGCGGTTTTTTCCCAAGTGAACCTTATGGCCAATGTGAAAGATTGGGTGTTAGATTTTGGTGCCACTAGGCATATATGTGCTAACAAAAAAAAATTGTGTCTTACACCCAAGTTGAGGAGGGAGAAGAAGTTGTCTATCTTGTTGACTCAAGAACTACTCAAGTTTTTGGAAAAGGCAAAGTTCCTCTCAAACTCACATCTGGCAAAACTTTGGCATTGAATGACGTATTGCATGTTCCTAGTATCCGAGCCAATTTGGTCTCTATGAGATTATTAGGAAAAGTGGGGGTGAAGGTTTCTTTTGAATCTGATGCCTCATTTTGGAAAAAAGCTATTGATGTAGAATTAAATTCAATTTTACAAAATAAAACTTGAATTTTAGTTGATTTACCTCCGGGAGCTAAACCCATTGGTTGTAATGGATTTTTAAGAAGAAATTCAATCCGGATGGTTCCATTGATAAATACAAATCTAGACTTGTTGCAAAAGGTTTTACCCAAAAGCAAAATGTTGATTATTTTGATACTTATGCTCCTGTAACTAGAATTTCCTCAATTTGTGTTTTACTTGCCTTGGCTTCTATTTATAAACTTTTTATTCACCAAATGGATGTTAAAACTGCATTTTTAAATGGTGATTTGGAAGAGAAAATTTACATGGAGCAACATGAGAGTTGTATAGTGTCTAGCCAAGAAAATAAAGTATGTAAATTGCTAAAATCTTTATATGGTTTAAAGCAAGCGCCTAAACAGTGGCATGAAAAACTTGATCAAGTATTGATTAATGATGGTTTTTCATCAATTGAAGTAGATAAATATGTTTATACAAAATGTATAGATGGTACATGTATTATTATTTGCCTTTATGTGGATGACATGCTTATTTTTAGTTCTAACCTTGATTTGGTACATAAAACCAAATTTTTCTTGTCTTCTAATTTTGAGATGAAAGACATGGGAGAAACCAGTGTTATTTTAGGCATGAAAATTATAAGAGATGACAATAGTTTGATGTTGACTCAAGAACATTATGTTGAAAGAATTCTTAAAAAATTTGATAATTTTGATGTGGTACCTGTAAGAACTCCTTATGATGCTAATAGTCAATTAAAAAAGAATAAGGGAGATATTGTAGATCAAAATAAATATGCTCAAATTATTGGCAGTCTAATGCATTTGATGAATTTTACTAGACCTGATATTGCATATGTTGTGTGTAGATTGGGTAGATATACTCAAAACTCAAGTCATGATCATTGGAATGCATTAGTAAGAGTAATGAAATATTTGAGAGGTACCATTAACTATGGTATTAAATATAGTGGATTTCCCACTGTACTAGAAGGATACAGTGATGTTAACTGGATCTCTAATTCAGATGAGACAAAATCCACTAGTGGTTATGTGTTCACCCTCTGTGGGGGTGCTGTGGCATGGAAATCAGCTAAACAAACAATAATAGCTAGATCTACCATGGAATCTGAGTTTGTGGCATTGGAATTAGCTGGCAATGAGGCCGATTGGTTAAAGAACCTTTTGGTGAGTATTCCACTAGGAATTAAACTGACACCTTCTGTGTCGATGCATTGTGATTGCCAAGCTGCAATAGCCATTGCCAAAAATAAATCCTTTAATGGGAAGAGTAGACATATCCGATTGAGACATAATGTGATAAAGCAACTGCTGAAAGATGGAATTATTTCCATAGATTATGTGAAGTCAGAAGTGAATTTGGTCGATCCTCTGACTAAACCTTTGGGAAGAAAATTAATATCTGAAACATCGAGGGGAATGAGACTTTTGCCAATTTGAGTTATATCAACTATGATGGTAACCCAACCTATCTGATTGGAGATCCCATGGAGTAGGTTCATATGGGTGATAACAAGTCATTAGTTGATCAAATGTGCACTATTAAATTATATCCCTTCTTATGGTGTATGTGTGTATATAGTGCAAGTTTGCAAGGAATGAGAGGTTGAGTTATTAAACTCTTAATCTATTAATCCATAGCCTTTTATAGGTGGTGTATTGTGTTGCAGAATACACTTGATGGATGGACTTATATGAGTGTGGAATGAGGCCGCTCCTATGAAATTTATGGCAAAAAGTTTCTAGAGCACTCATGAAAATCAGGCGCGCGCATGGCCTATTAGCACAAAATTGCGTCAAACAACAAAGTGTGTACGGGTATAATGTGATAAATACGATATTAAACTTACAAAAGAATTCTTGGTTCATAGAAGTTTTAAACCTCACCAATTGTTCTGTAAGTTTAATCTTATTTTATCTAGGTCTGGTTCATAGTCCAAGAGACACCAAATTCGATGTATTATGCTCATTTGTGAAAACCCAGCAAATTAGTTTATTATTTCATTATTTTCTTTTTGAGATATGTGGGGATTGATGAAAAAATATATTTGATATCTCAAAAAGAAATACTTTAAAATTATGTCTAGATTCATTTTCTTACAATTATATTAATGAGTCATTATTATAGTAATTATTTTAAATATATTTGTAACAACTAATTTGATAAGTTTGAATTCAATTTTTGACAAACAAAATCTGGCAATTGAATGGTAATAACTTATACGTTACTTATGAGGCAACAATTATGTAGTCTTAAAGTTATAATTCTTAACGTTTTTTACCAATTTGATAGCTTTAATGGTTTTCATTTGTGTTTATATTCTTATACGTTACTTGTGTATGTTAACGTATGGTAATAAAAAATTTGAAAAGCCTTTATGGCTTGTAAGCTTTCTTGTCAGATAGTGGAGTTTTGTTTTGGCATTAAATCCTCAATGAATTTTATCGTTTTGTTTATTTCAGATGTCCATCTTTTTGGACTATATATAAAGCTATTTGTTTGTGTGGTCACTTTGAAAAGGAGTAAAATTAGTAAAACTTTTCTTCTTCTTTTGTTTGTGCTGGGTTTTCTTCTTATAAATCTTTGTTGTTTCTGCTCCTAGTTATACTAGAAGAGCTTGTTGAATCCTGGGGGATATGCCTAATATTATTCATCTCGGTGTGGACAAAATATTCTTAAGAACAGTGTCTTTGACACGCCTCTGTGAAACCAGCCTCACGCAGTACACCCCACTCTAGGAGTCAAGAAGCCCATTCCTTCGCTCGGCCCCGTGACCCAGCCCTGTGCTTGGAGAGGGCAGGCCAGAAATTAGCTACCCAAGTCCTGCCTTTTGACAGGCCCAACGAGGCCCAACAAGCTCTCATGAATTATGCCTTCTTTCTCACAATAATCATTCAACAAAATAAATTAACTCTTTTGATTTTCTTATTTAATTGATTTTCTATTTCAGATTTATAAATTAAAAACTTATCAAAAGCTTCATCTTTATTTCTCAACAAATAAGCTTTTGTATATTTAGAAAAATCGTCTATAAAAGTCACATAATATTTTTTCTCTCCTTCGTTATAGTTTATTTCAAGTCTCCTAAATCAGTATGAATTAAACTTAATAATTCAGATTCTCTAAATACTGAAGCACATGATTTCTTAGTTTGTTTAGCTTCTGCACAAACCTCACACTTATCAATTATCTTTGACACGCCTCAAGTTAAACCTTTTATTCTCCATAATCATCCAATTTTTCCAACATATACTTATTTTGAACCTTAANCTTTTACTACTTTGTTTCTTATTTCTCCCGCCCTCAATTGTTGCCCTTTGTGCTTGAAAAAAAATTAAGTATACCTATGCCATTTATATAATTAAATATTGCTAATACATAATACCTGAATTATTATGTAAATATACCAAAAAATATTTCTAAGTAAATTCATAAAAACGGATGCAATATACATGATACAATTATTATTTGTATAACTAAAATGCTAGAATTATCCTATAAATATCCAATTATCCATTATTATACCTTTTATATAATTAAATATTAATTATATATGAAATATACTAAGAATCAATCCCGTGGGAGTCATATTCTTGCAATAAATTCAGAATAATTGAAATATAAATGGATTAAAGAACAATTCCACATTTTTTTATAATTATACCAACTATATAATGAAATAGTGATAAGTAAATGTGTAATATAACAGAATTATTCCATAAATATATATTCTCTTTATATCATTGTTATTATACCTGCTAAATTTCATATTCTTAGGTTATATTGATCTTATTTCCAACGCCTTGGATACACTTCAAATATTAATGAATATTTTAAAGTATTTTCTTTTAATATATTTTATCTTATTGTTCTTACTTTTCAATTCTTAGTGGTACTATATATCAATATACCTATTATATTCAATATGTATAATTTCATTATTTTCTCAACTGTTGATTGCTTTATACATGCTTTATACCAAGTTTATTTGTAAATAACGCTTATGAATGGAAAGGAATCATAGATATCCCAGTTTGTCTCAAGCGTGAAATATGGGATATAATTAATTAGAAATTGAATCGTTTCCGATAATTTAGTAACTGAAATGTGACTCATGGTCCAATATTATAGGTTTTGGCTAGGAATGTAGTTAATTAGTTGCCATATCTGTTAATTACTTATTGTTGTTGGAAGTCTGTAAAATTTTCTTAAATATTAGCTAATTATGTATTTTGCTCTAAAATAAAACTGGACCTTTGCTTCAGCTGGGCCAGATACCAGATGAAGCCCAAGTCAGTAAAAACCCAAACCAATAAGAATCCAACCCGGGTCCAACATCTTTATTTTTAAAAAAAAAAGGACA